CACACACACACACACACTACTACACTACACTTACACTGAACATCCAAACAAAGGCAGAGAGGCAGACACTTGTATCAGATTAACAAACTGGCAACATTTCTTGCCATTCCTTTGTCTGTTATGTGCAGTAAAGGATGTTTGACTAAACCAAAACACAGTTAAAGTTACTAATTTACTTTGTAATAGTTCAAAGAAACGCTAAGGCTGAAATCTGAGGGGAACTTCCTTGTTACCTCAGTTAGTCAAATCTGAGATATACTGCATGTAAACCAGCTTATAGTTGTATAAAATGTGTTGACTCAGAGCATCAAAGGGATATTTAGGTTTTCTGTTTGGGTATAATTGTGGCAGATCATGCATGTTGAAATGAAACCACACATCACTGACACACTTTTACTTGCACTGTCAACAGTTTTTGACTCTATGCACTTGTTAATAAGACTTAATGGTGTGTAAAATTCTTTGTCATAATTGTTGCAGGCTGAGCTGGTGCAAGTTTAAATATTAGAATACTTAGATACTATAATTAGCATATGGTTGCCTGCAGCTTTTTATTTAGAGCAGTGAGTTTGGTTTGAATTGTTCAAATATGTATTTACTAAATATACATCTGGAGCCACCAACCGGTTATCAAAGCCTACAGGTAGTTTAGAGATTCCGGTAAATAGATTGTTATCGTTGAACAGAGCCAGGTCAGCTGTTTCACTCCTGTTTCCAGTTTGTGTGCTAAACTAAGGTAACCTGCTGCTGGCAGTGGCTTCATGTTAAGTGGACTGATGTGACTGATATCGATCTTCTCTCCCAACTATCTGCAAGAAAGCAAATAAGTATAGTTTCCAAATGTCCTTTAATCAATCCAATTTAATCTTTCAGAAACTACTTTTTACTCAACAGATCATCAGTTTGTAGATCCATTATTCATTTTTCTTTTTTGTAGTCAGCATACTGTGCGTCACTGTCAGTCCAACCCCTACGACAGTTGAAAAAGCCATGGTATAGTTCACACACTGGTTAGAAGACTATTGAAGGCTACATCTGTTGGGGCAAGTGTTTATAAAGAGCACAGGTCACTGTCATGACACTTCGTACACTGTACACACTCCGTGCACTGTACAAACTCTTATTAATGTTAGATGGTTCAAATTTGAAAAGCTGTATCCCTAATAAGAAGTGAGGACAGTGTGTGGGTCAACAGACAATTACAATCAAAGTAATGATTACAGGATATTCTCCTGCTATGTTTTATGCTATTTCTTTCTTTCAGGTCTTCTTCATAACCTGAAATGAGAAATTAATTGAAATGTCTCCCATATGATCTACCCTTTATAAAAGTATAAAGTGGTTGTGAATTACCCTTTATCAGTCAGCACATGGAGGTGTCTCAGGTAGAAAATTTTTTTCCCAGCAGCACTGAACGTCACACAATTGTTTTACATTTCATCAGTGATAGATAATATACAGCGGAGAGATCTCAACCTCCACATATATCACACTGTGTGTTATAGACCTGCAGCCTGAACTTTAAAGCTGATTAGCATTTAAAGATTAGTTTATCACTCAAATTGGTTTGTAGGTTTGGTTTGTAATTGTTTAGTTCGTAAGACACAAGGAAAGAGCACACAGTTGACTAATTACTGACCACAGTCAGATCACCAACTTACATAACAATAAAAACAACCACTGACTATGAAGTATTTTAATTCAATTTGGAAGGTCATCTTAACAAAATGAAGTAAATAAACTATTAACTAATATTATTATTTATTATTTTGTGCTCTGTTTCTTCACACTTTACATTTTTAAGTGACATGCACATAAACAGACATCTTTTTCACTAGCTTATCATGCTTTCAAGTGACAAAACCAGTTGTGGCCTGAATGCCTGAATGAATACCAAGTCAGCTCTGCCTATTGTTTCTGAATGATGCTATTTTTGGCTTGAAGGAAACCTGTTAATGTGTAAAGAGCTTTCCAAAACAGGGAAATGATCTGTTATTTTTTTCCAGTAGCTAATATCACGTAAAACATAACAAGCACATGCACATTTTGAGTCACTGAGTTTTACATTTTTTTACTTAAAACATTTTTGTTTGAATTTTAAAGTGGCCCTGGACATTAACCCTAACCCTACTATTGTTAAAAACAAAGCAAGGGAAGGGTATTGGTATAGGAGCTTTTAACAACAAGGCAATTACAAGTTCTTTACAGAAGACATAAAACAAATAAAAACAAGTAAAATAAAATAGAAGATAAATATAAGTTAACATTGAATAAAAGTTAGCAAAACCTGAAATGTGTGCCTCCCCCCTCTATAAAATTCAAGTGTCACAAATAAAAATCAAAAAAAGATTTTGCATAAAAATTTGATTAGTAACTGATAATGACCAATCCATCAAACTTCACAATTAAGATATTCATGCATTATAGTTCAGGTCAATTAGAATGTGAGACAAATACATGCAAAGTGCTGAATTAAATACATATAAATAAAGACTTCACAGAGATATAACATTAGAATTAACAACAAATATGAAAATTCAAATAGTTGAAACAAAACAAATGTCTAAAAGACAATAAAAACCCAACATAGTCAGTTTACGTTCTCTACAAGGAGTTTAGTTTCTCTACACTTGGAGCAAAAGAGCTAAAAGCTGCTTCACTTAAGGTTTTAGTGGTGCCCTGCAGAACAACTCAAGTGATGATAGCAGAGAACAATGCAATGGATACAAAAAGCTATTATGCTGCTCTACGTGTATTGTGTGTTCTCCTCTGCAGGCAGAAGCAGTCTGAACTGTAACTGATTAGCTGCATACTTTTCTGGGTGGACCTGATAGGGGAGGATTGTATGTTGCTCCATGAGTTATTTAGAAATAGTGTAGGAAGTTAAGTGAAAGAAAAGTGTGTCCAAAAGCCTTTAAACCAAGAAATCCTTTGCACCTGAAATACTGTACTGTGATGTAGTAGTGTATTGTTAGTATTTGTTAGTGTTAGGTTGTTTAGCATATTTTTTTATTGGACTTCAGTATAGTACCTGAGATGTAATAGAATTATGACAGAAACTTGAGGGTACTGAGAAGGATCTTGATAAATCGATGGTGGAGATGTTGGCTAGAGAGGCAAAATCACGTACTCACAATAAACAATAGTGAGCTGGTTCGGAAAATGAGCCTATGTGGGCAGAAATAAGTTTGATCTGTTCAAAATGTCAAACTTAGTTTGTTTGATAGAAATTAAAAAAAAATTGGAAAACTCTTCCTTTCTCTCAGTCTCTCAGTGGAAAATATGGCCACTGTTCACAAAGCTGAATCATCAAGGATTCATTTTGGTTGACAGGGTTTTGTGAGTTGCTTGGTGAAATTCTTGGCAGTGGAGCATTTAGGTTCCTGTTGAACAACATGGTTATTTATTTTGGCAATTATATATACATACCCTAGGTGTTGCCAAGGGGTGTCTCCTGCCACATGTACTAAACGTATAAATAGGACAAACTATTGTGGATGGCACCGACTCCTGACTGCAGCTCGTAGATTAAACTGGGACTTGCAGGACATGACAGGTACTGTGATCAAACTTACTTTATACCTATAACTTCATATGGTGTTTCTTCACACCATAGTATATATGTAGTTGTAGTTCACATTCAGGCAACTATACACTTTCGTATATATCTTTATAGTTTATAGTATAAGTATGCGTTTTTTGATCAGTGACAGGACTATGTTTGTTTTTCAGAGATGAAGTGGGTTTTTTGCCTGATAGCTGCAGGTCTTTGCCTGTGTTTGCAAAGCCATGTGGATGCTGGTGAGTACGATCCCTATCAAATTAATACAAAAATGTGTATAAAATAGTCTCCTATTGTCTTCTACTACTACATTTACATACATACTACATAATTTTTTATTGAAATAAAAAAATAAATACAGAAGATCTCAGATGAACGTCTGAGTTTATATTTAATGTATATTAAAAGAATAATGTGTAAAACTTTCGTAATCTATGGAGAAAAACATTAATATTGAGAAACATTAAGAATTGTGGCTGGATTGTGTTTAAGACAGACTGAAAGATGTTTTTTTGCATTCAGAACCTCATTTGAGCAGAAGTGTCATTGAAAAGGCTGTGATTGAAGCCAAGGCCACAGTGGACTCGGCCTATGAGTACTCCAGAAGAGAGTGAGTATAAACCTGCTGAACTGCTGCACAAGTTATTCAGTGAATGACAAACAAATGGCATCATCAGAAGCTGTAACATCTGATAGCTCATGGAATCGATCATCTGATCTCTCCAAACAACAGGAGTATTGATCGCGTGAAGAGGAATGCAGCGAATCCTTCAGACATCCTGCGGTTGCTGAAGCAGCCTGCTGGGTTAACCCGCTCCGCTGTGCGTGCTGCAGACTACATGGACAATGCCGTGAAACTGATCAAGAGGTCTTTGGAAAAACGTCAAAAACGCTCCATCAATGCCACAGGTGTGTATCCAAAATAGGTTCCTTGAATTTTCCATACAAGTGAATCCAAGTCACAGCTAAGATGTGTATTCATTGCCTCTGTTAATCAGATCTGATCACTGAGGAGGATCTTCAGGTCATTGCTGATCTGACAGGTTGCTCTGCCCGTCATCGTGTCCCTTCCTGCAAGACGACTCCAAATTTAAACCAGTTTCGCACTGCGAGCGGCGTCTGCAACAACAGGTGAAGAAACTGCTAAGTGGCAACATTAACCTAATTGGCAAACCTGGAAAGAAACAAGTAACAAACATGTAAAGAGCTAAGTGACTGCTAAACATTCCTGCTGGCAGTGATCTCATATTCTGGTGCATGCTGTAAATCATGCACCCACATGCGGGACAAAGAGAAATAATTTTTTATTTTGTTTTGCCTAGAATAAACACCCGCAGGGGATCCTCCAACACACCTTTCACCCGCTGGCTCCCTGTTGAGTACCAGGATGAAATCTCTCTGCCCAAGGGCTGGAACCCTGATCGTAGAGTCAACAGACGACTTCTTCCTTTGGTAATATATTCTATCTATTCTCTATAAAGTATGTTATGTACTGTACAAAGAATGAAAGTAAATGTAAAGACATCTGAGAAAGCTCCTGAGGAGGTGGGAAAAGACAAGTGTTGTTAGTGCTGAACAATATACAGAACAGCAACACACTGAACATTAAGTATTAAGTATTTTCTGACTTGTACTTTCACCAAGGTGCTCATTGTCCGCATCCTGTCCACAGGTAAGAGAAGTGTCCAACTGTATTCTGAAAACAGCCAACTCTGAAGTGGAAAATGACCCACTGTACACTCACCTGGTGACAATCTTCGGCCAGTGGACTGATCACGACCTGAGCTTCACTCCTCACTCCCCTGTAATTCGCTCCTTCAGTAACGGTATTAACTGTGATCACAGCTGTGAACGCACAGAGCCCTGCTTCCCCATTGAGGTCAGTGTCATTGCTCAAGAAAAGACATGAACACACACACACACACACACGCACACACACACACACACTGGATACTAACTGCTTATTGTCATCTAAACAGATTCCCAAGACAGACCCCCGTTTTGGCAAAAACTCAGACAAGTGCATCCCCTTTTTCCGCTCAGCACCAGCTTGTGGATCTGGCAACACCGGCCATGTCTTTGGTGCAAGCAATATCCGTGAGCAGATGAACACTCTTACAGCTTTCATTGATGTAGGCCAGGTGTATGGTGCAGACGATACCAAAACTCGCTTCCTCAGGGACCTCACCACAGACAAGGGCCTGTTGAGGGTCAACAAAGAGTACACTGACAACGGTCGTGAGCTCCTGCCCTTCTCCGACATGACTGTCAACATGTGTGCCACACGAGCCCGCATTACTAATGACAGTAATGCCCAGGAGGTGCCCTGCTTTGTGGCTGGTAAGTGGCACCAAAAACTCTGATGCACAATCTGTAAAAGTGTCAGATTCATTCCAAGCAATGCACAGGGCTGACAGCACTTTCCACCTCATTTTATCTGACTTTTAAGGTGACGAGCGGTCCAATGAGAACATTGGTCTGACCTCTTTGCACACACTGTTGTTGCGTGAACACAACCGTCTTGCACGTGCTCTGGCCAAGCTTAACCCCCGCTGGGACGGAGAGACGATCTTCCAGGAGGCACGCAAGATCATGGGAGGATATTTCCAGGTTAGAGAGAGGCACAGTTTTTAATGATTGAAGGGATGGATGGTATGTCCTTGCATTGTTCAGTTAACTAAATGTATCTTTTGTATTTCAGGTTATCACCTTCAGAGATTACTTACTCCACATCGTCGGTCCAGACTTCATTACCAAGCAGCTTTCCGACTACCCTGGTTATGATGAAGATGTGGACCCAAGCATCTCCAATGTGTTTGCCACCGCTGCCTACAGATTTGCCCATCTGATGGTTCAGCCTTTCATGTTTCGTCTGAATGAAGAGTACAAAGAGCACCCTGATTACCCGAGCCCACTGCTGCACAAAGCCTTCTTTACACCATGGAGAATCGTCTTTGAAGGTATGGCCAAGATCTTTAACTTGTTAGTCCTTCTCTTAACAGATATTATTAAATTTAAATTAATTTAATTAAATTAAATTATCTCTTGATTTCCTCAGGTGGTTTGGACCCAGTGCTGAGGGGCCTGGTGGGTCGCATGGCCAAGCTGAACACACAGGATCACATGATGTCAGATGAGCTGAGGGATAGGCTGTTTAAATTCTCCTCTGAGTTGGCGTTGGATCTAGCCGCTCTCAACATGCAGAGAG